GAGTTTCCATACTGAGGGTACCTGTTATCCTCTAGTTAACCACTCGTCTTGCTTTCCCTCTGGGTCTCAAGTGACACCCAGAGTCCACAACCACTTCTGGATGTATCATTCTCTCCAGGTAAGGAATTTCAGTATCTTCCATTTCACCTGTTACACGGCCCCACAGGTTTGAGATCACCCCTGCCTTGTGCAGTTGCAGTACATCCCCAAATTAGGTGATTTCAACCAGCCTATCTGCCTGCTTATTCTCAAACACACCTGAATGGCCCGGGCAAAATACCCATGTGACTATCACCAACTGTGACCTCTGTATTGATGTAACCATACACTACACTGTCAAGATACACTGCACAGACTGATATTACCTATATCCACAACTATCAGTGTTGTGTGAGGCAACACTATGAGATAATGCTGACAACTTCCTTCATCATGAACAGGCAGCTTTCCTAATCAAATAGAGAGCTTTGTTTGTCAAGCAACAATACAGCTCTCTATGTCCAACAAACACAGTTTCCCCTGTCAAATCAAAATACAGCTTTTCTTGTCAAATCAAAATACAGCTTTCCCTGTCTAAGGGAAATACAACTTTCTTTATCAAACAAAAATACAGCTTTCCTTGTTCGAAAAGAAATGCAGCCTTCCCTGTCAAGCAGAAATACAGCTTTCCTTGTCAAGCAGAAGTACATCTTTCCTTGTCAAGCAGAAGTACAGGGTTCTGTGTCAAGCAGAAGTACAGCGTTCTGTGTCACGCAGACACACATCCTTCCAAAACTTCCTTGTCTTGAAGCTTTTTGTTCAGCTGCAGCTGTTTTCAACCTGTATGCAAGGTAAACCAAGGGACACAGTAAATACACATGCCTAGATGTTTGTTCAACCAGGCCATTTATTTAACATCAACATTTCAAAACAGGTAATATTATCTGCCATCAAGAAACAGTCAATTCTTCTATAACATACAACACATAATATGAGGACAACAGTGTTGCCTATAACTTTACGAGTTTAAGATCACACAGTAAATCGCTGATATTTCTACACTAGTATGGAGTATTGAATCAACAGCTATTTTAGGATAGAATGAAGACTTCATTTACTGCCCTTTGTGGGCCCTAAAATAGCAGTGAATTCCATCTGTAACATTAAGAGAAAACCAGTTACCTATTAGATGGTCTTTTTGCCACCATTGTATTTTATACAGACTGTAAAATATATCTAGTAAGTCAGCAAAGTACAGGAGCCTTTTCATGCCTTTGCTACAAAAGGCATACAATGATAGACCCATATTTTCATAGATCAATCAGCACTTGATGAGTGATGTGGTCAACTTTAGGCAGCTTGCCTTCACTTTCTAGGACATTTCCTGGTACACACTTTAGGCTAAGCTGATCTGGAAATATTTCCCTATAATCCGTACCATACGTTTTTCACTCAGACAACACAATGTCTCTATTACTAAAATTATTTTCTATCCACATAATAAAATGACTCTAATGCCAAGACTACAAGGGGGCTCCAATAAAAACCTTAAAAGTGTGACAAAAATGACAATAGCCATGCCACTGACTTGTCACATGTCAATACTGCTTTAAGAATGTCAAGAGCGTTAAGCACATGACATTACGGAGGTAACACGAACGTGGTGACAACATAATGACAGTTTTAAAATGGCCATCACCTTGTATATTCTATCAAGTCCAACAAAATGTTTCCAGTATCAGAACTTTAACATTATTTTCTCCCCAAAAAATTTCTTGAATATCAAAATCAACTTTATTTTTATAAAAACAACGTGTCTCTAGTACTAAGGTATTTTATCTGACACCCCCTTCCATCCCCAAAATTTCACAGTATCAAAACTTTAACAGTATTTTATTTAGAAAATGAAATGTCTCTACTGTCAAGACTATTACCCAGAGCACAACAACAAAATCTCTAGTGCCAAGACTATTTTACCCAGAGCACAACAGCAAAATCTCTAGTGCCATGACTATTTTACCAAGAGCACAACAGCAAAATCTCTAGTGCCATGACTATTTTACCAAGAGCACAACAACAAAATCTCTAGTTTAAGACTATATTTTATTCACTAACAAAATGCCACTTACGCTAAGTATAACTATATTTTATCCAGACAAGAAAATGTCTTAGTACCAAGACTATATTTTATTCAGACAATGAAATGCTACTAAGCATAACAATAATTTACCCATACAAGAAAATGAAATCCTCCACCATGCAAAAGCACAACAGACCAATCACCTGTTTGCCTTAAACTATGATTACAAGTAACTACAGAGAGAAAACCGGACGGATCTTAATGGCGACGAACTGGCATGGCTTACGGACTATGATTTATGGAACATGGAACATAAGAAGCATTAACGGGAAGGAAAACGAGTTAGTAGGGAAGATGAGGAAAGCGAAATTAGGAGTCTTGGCTCTGACTGAAACCAAGAAAAAGGGGCAAGGAATCACAGATCATGAAGGAAGTATGCTGCTCTACAGTGGTGTCCCTATGACGGAGAGAACCAAGGGAGGTGTTGGCTGTATTGTGGCCAGGAATCAAGTTAGTAACATCAAGGGATGGAAATTCATCAATGTAGGTATAACACCAGAGATGGTCAAATATATGGGAGTCGCAGGTGAGCGCCTCCTACTGAAGGTTCTCCAGGCAGCCTGGTGTAGCAAAACTATACCAAAAGCTTGGGAGACTGCCATCATTATACCTATATTTTAAAAAGGTGATAACAGACAATGTGAAAACCACAGAGGCATATCCCTCTAAAAGTTACTCTAGAATTCTCAAGCAGAGTCTTAAAAGTCTGGTAGAGCCAAAGCTGGACGAAGCCCAATGCGGCTTCAGAGCAAACCGAAGTACTCAAGACCTTATCTTCACACTGAGACAGATGAGTGAAAAAGCCCTTGAAAATAGGAGTGAAATGCCCCTATGTTTTTTGGATCTGGAAAAAGCATTTGACAAAGTACCCTGGGACAAGCTCTGGGACTGCTTGGCAGGGAAAAACACCCCAGCACCCCTGATCAGTGCAATACAGAGTTTCTACAAAAGCTGCAGAAATTATGTTAGAACGGCAGACCAAAAGTCAGAAGAATTTAAGACCACCAGCGGTGTTAAGACAAGATGATATTCTCTCACCTTACCTCTTCCTTCTTATGATGGATGATGTCATCAAGACCTGTAAGGAGAAGACAAAAGAAGTACTTTGTAGGGTACTGGAAGATGAGACCAATCTGTATATCAGAGCTGGCATTTGCAGACGATGTGGCCCTGATAGCTAAATCAGAGGCACACCTTCAGTCCAACTTACTTGTCTGGAAGGAAGAGCTTGAAAAGAGAGGGATGACCATCAGTATCTCCAAAACTAAAACCATGGTGATCTCAAGAGAGGAGAAGAAACACCAGATCATGATGGGACAGTATGCATTGGAGCAGGTTAACCAGTTCAAATACATTGGAGTTATTTTAGACCGAAATGGAGGCATTAAGACTGAGCTGGCTACACTAAAAGCAGCTGCTGGGAGACTCTTCCAGGCCATAAACCGAGGGTTTCTTAGCAAAAGAGAAATTGGCAAGAGGACCAAAATGGCTGTTTACCGCTCTACCTATGTACCAGTCCTGACCTATGGGTGTGAGTCATGGGCAATGACAACAGCTCACAGAAGTCAGCTGCAGGCCTCAGAAATGAGATATCTGAGAAAGGTGGTCTAAGTGACAAGAAGGGAAAAAGTCCGCAATCAGACAATACGTCAAGATCTTGATACTCAGTCCTTACAAACCCGAGTGGATCAGTCAGAGTTACGATGGTTTGGACACGTATGCAGAATGGGAAAAAATCGGCAACCATGGCAGGCATGGGAGGCTAAGAACCAGGGAACCAGACCTCCAGGATGACCCAGGGTGCGCTGGGAAGACAACATCCGTCAGTCCCTAACTGACAAAGGACTGGAATGGAACAAAGCCAGAAAGAAAACTGCTGATAGAGACGTCTGGCGATCTCTCTGGCAAACCTCTACACACCAAGGTAGAAGAGGAGCGACTAAGTAAAGAAAATGAAATGCCACTATCATTTAGAATACATATTTTTCACCCAGACAAATGTTGAGCGCCAAGACCATATTTCCCCCGGACAATAAAATTTCTCTAGTATTAGGATCCTAACTTATTTAATCCAAACCAAAAAAATATATCCAATCACAGGACTGACACAATGACTGGAACTGAAATTTCTCTCAGGTTTTATAGAAAACAGACTAAGACCATCATGTTTGCCTTATTTAAATACAAAGTCATTAGAAGTCCACAGCAAAAGTTGAGAACCACTGAAGACACGGAGTGAAAGTTAAGTGCAATAACAAAATTGCCCAAGAAAAGTTCTAAACATTCAAGAACTGTGAAGACATAGGAAACATGTCTGGGCAACTACTGGTATTAACAGTTATAAGACAAAGAAGATTTGATTTGATTTGATTCAAGAACCGACATCACAGCACTCTGGGCATTCCCATAAGCGCTCTGTCCCTATCTTCAGCAGCCAGTGAAGAGTTCCGATACTAATGGTGCCAGTAGCATTCTGATTAAACGTCTGTCTTGCATTTCCTCTGAGCCTCCAGCATCTCCCATAACCTCTCGTCACTCCCCGCTGCATCAATCTCACCAGACTGAGGTGATACTTCTGCTCCTCCGAACTGTACACGCTCTAAGACAAAGAAGATTTCAGTATACTGGGTAAATCAGGAGAAGCAGCAGTGAGAGGATTACTAAACAGGCAGTGGAAGGAAAAATAAATGGATTGAGGAAATTAGGATGCCAAAGTTAATTGGAGAGAGTAAAGGTGCAGAACTGGATTCCATCCATGGCGCTGAAACAACTGCAAAGAAAGAATGGAATGGAAAAATAAACTACAAGCTTTATGTGATACACAGCAGCCCAACACTATGATAACGAAGATTAATAACATGTCTACAGACCTAAGGATCATCTATTCTGTCACAGTGTCAACTACAATGTCCCCTGTATTTCTCCATCTCTTCTCCTCACCTCTAGACTGTAATTCCTATATAGAAATATGTGTAATAAAATAAATGTATTTATGTTACATATTCACAAACAAATATTTCTTATTCTGCCATTCTTATTCTGCTTCTTCATCTTCTTCGTGATTACCGGCTGTAAACTCTGGCAGAAAGTTCTGCTTGTTCATCTCTTCTGGACTTAGCCTTATTACAGAAGCTGAGTTTTGCGCGCACATCCATTTCACAGATCTGATTTATTTGTATGCAGACTGCTGGTTCCTCGCCTACCAAGTAGATGCACTCTGACTACAATGGAAACATCACTAATTAGCCGACTCTTATGACATGCTTGTTAGGGGGCAGTAGGTTTATTCTCACCCCCTCCCCACCCACAACAATGCCCACAATTTACACAAGGAATTTTTATTATGATTTCCCTCTTATTCTTACTCTTACTCCCCCAGCCACATGATGATGATAATGTACAACAAAATTACACAATTTTTTTTTTTTGTCTTTAAAATTTGTTCACCATTCAGTTTGGTGCAAAAATACAAAACATTATGAGCTTATGTTAAATAGTGAAGCTATGGAATTTCTGTGTCTATACTGCTGCCATGTATCCTGTCACTTCCTGGAGAAGTAAAGATGGCCCGCATAATGCTGACCACATTACCTACCTAGTGCCGAATGGTCTGTAAAAACATGGGTGCTCTTACTATATGCCCTATGTGCCTAAAAGACGTGAAAAGGGATCTTTACCTTTACTTACGTAATATATCGCCGTCAGAAAAAAGTTTTCATTTGCCCTTTTTTTTTTGCACCAATCTACAGCCATATAATGATGATATCAAGCAAGATTATGCAGTTTTTTTTATCTTGAAATTTGTCCACCACTCAATATAGTGCAAAATTATGATAAGTTTATGTCAAATAGCTGTGAAGCTATGGCATTTGTAGCACATACTTCTTCTTCTTCGTTCACCGGCTGTGAATTCCGGCGGAAGGTCCCAGTTAATCGTCCGCTTGGACTTTTAGCTTTTATCTGGACCTGAGTTTTGCGTGTACAACCGTTTTACTGGCTTTTGCCGTTCCCTGCCTCACGGGCAGATGTACTCCGACTTCGAGGGAAGACGTCAGGCCTATTTCTAGGATGACTGTGGCCATTTTTTTTGGTGTGGGTCGAGATGTGACCTTATTTGTCCCTTTCTCCATAAGTGTTGCCCCCGAAGTACTCCATTTGGGACAGCCCTGTGTGAAACGGTTGGCCCTCAAGGGAAGGCAGGGGCAGATCATGGGCATTCCCCGCCATGTAGCACATACTGTTATCTGGGAAAGTGCAAGGGTTAAGGGACTTGGCACTCAGCGGGTTAAAGGCCAATAGTTTAGCAAGAACAGTAAAGAACGGTATAGCTTTTGAAGGAAGATGTAGGAGTCAACCAGTGTGAAGGCGGGCATACAACATCAAGGACACTTTAAGCATAAAAGAGCAGTGGGCACCCTGTGTTGTGGTTTACAGCTAGACTACGTTATCTGCGCCTTTCAGCCCAACACATACGATTGTAGCAAATCCTTAATTAGATCCTTTTTATGACACTCTGGTTAGGGGAAACTGTAGGTCTTTCCCCCCCCCCCCTCCCCCCCCCCCCAAAAAAACTGGGCCTTTGAACCAGCATGGGGATGCAAATATATGAGGCAGGTGAACTGGCAAAGAACCATCAGCTTCCTATGTTGGGAGTATTTTTTGGCAAAAGTAGCTGCTTCATGATGAACATATTCATCTACATCACTATTATCAGTGTTTAGTCTTACAGCCCATGCTATTAAATCTTTAAACAAGACAAGCTACTGACCCATTCATGTCGTCATCATCATCATCAACTTCCCCATCCTGTTGTGCCATTATATGTTACATAGAGCTCGCAGTTTACTTCTTTATTCTATTATCTTCTGTGCAATGCTTTAAATCTCAAGGATGGAATTCAGTCCAGAACCTTTGGTCTATTTCATCAACGTTAATTTTAGGGTTTCTCTTGGAGGTCCTTGTTTCCTCAATCGATTTATTTACCATTTCAGTGCCTGTCTGAGGATTCTCTGTTCGCTTATTTTCAGGATGAGTTCAAATATAGCACCATCTTCTTTGTCTTTCTATTAATACTAGTGGTTCTGAAGACATTTCTCTTATTCCCGCTCAAGTAATATTATGAAATGCTTCCTATATTTTATTAATTTCTGGTTTGTTTTTCCCCATACTAAAACTGCCACAAGCCTTACTACAACTGTCATAAGCCATACTACAACTGTCATAAGCCATACTACAACTGTCATAAGCCATACTACAACTGTCATAAGCCATACTACAACTGTCATAAGCCATACTACAACTGTCATAAGCCATACTACAACTGTCATAAGCCATACTACAACTGTCATTAGCCACACTACAACTGTCATAAGCCATACTACAACTGTCATAAGCCATACTACAACTGTCATAAGCCATACTACAACTGTCATAAGCCATACTACAACTGTCATAAGCCATACTACAACTGTCATAAGCCATACTACAACTGTCATAAGCCACACTACAACTGTCATAAGCCATACTACAACTGTCATAAGCCATACTACAACTGTCATAAGCCATACTACAACTGTCATAAGTCATACTACAACTGTCATAAGCCATACTACAACTGTCATAAGCCATACTACAACTGTCATAAGCCATACTACAACTGTCATAAGCCATTCTACAACTGTCATAAGCCATACTACAACTGTCATAAGCCATACTACAACTGTCATAAGTCATACAGTTTCTGCACATCTTATTAAAATACAATAAAAACTATTTCATAAATGAAACAGAATTTACATTTCTTCCTGAGATGCTGTCTGCCATGCCTAGACTTTCACCACCTGAAAGAAAAGAAAGCGAACAGCAAAATCAGTTCAGATATACAGACATTTTACAACAGATCAGGCTTGGAAGAGAAAGTGATCAGCAAAATCAGTTCAGTTAGACAGACATTTTACAACAGATCAGACTTGGAAGAGTAAGTGAACAGCAAAATCAGTTGAGTTATACAGACATTTTACAACAGATCAGGCTTGGAAGAGAGATTGAACAACAAAATCAGTTAACTCTTTGAGTCCCAAGGAACGCATCATACGTTTATAGGTTCCTACCTAGAAGCCTAATGAACGCATGATGCGCCGATTTTATGACTCTCTTTACTACCCCCTGGGCCCGTGATGCTAAACCCCCTGGCACTCAAAGAGTTAAGTTATACAGACATTTTACAACAGATCAGACTTGAAAGATAATTTATTTTATGACCTATCACATTAAACATTTATTCATTAATGGCATTCAAGGACCACTGTCTAAACCTTTATGCAAGTGTGCTTGTGCTCCATTTATTATTAAACTTATTGTAACTGAAACTAGTTTTCAAACTACTGCGGGTATATTACATTTATATATACAATTATTATAACTGAAAACAACAGTTTTCAAACTGTTTATTGCAAATACAATGACATTTAAATATAATCTTAACTGAAAACAGCAGTTTCAAAACTGTTTATTGCAAGTGTAGTTACTTTTATTTATTTAAAGTGATTGTAACCGGAAACAGTTGAAGGTCTTCACTGATAACCTGTATTTCAAAAAGTAACAAAACAGCTGAACTCTTACTTGTACTTGTGAATCCACAGATATCACACACTGTGCGGTTGGGGTAGTTGATGTATGTGCAGTGCTTGCACATCCAAGCACCTGGCAGATGTTCCGGAGAGCTCTGGTGTGAGAAACCTGCAGATGCATGGCTGCCATTTACAAACAGGTGATTGACTGTTTAAAAAGTGAAATAAAAAGAACATGAAATAGGTGTTTTATGAGAGGTTTAAAGATGTAGGTATTTTCAAAGTTAGATGTCTACACTATTTTATTTTCTATATTGCCATGTATTCCATGCATAAGATTGTTCTCAATTTTTGTCAGATTTCATGATTTCTTATTCTATCTCTTCAAGCAATTCTCAAATGAAAACTCTGCCAAATGTGGAACGTAATGTTTTGTTATTTTAAAGCCCAACCCCAGCTGTAGTTGAAGGCACTAATATAACTTAACTGTTGAACAGGGTTTCTGTGACTTGTACCCGGGTGATTCTCATCTGAAAAGTGGCACTTTGTGTCGCCGAGTGTTGATCACTTGTTGTGCAGCCCTGGTGGTGTTGAACATCACTCTCTCAACACTCATCTTTACCTCAACTCTCTGAGCTCCATGCAGTTTTTACAACAAAATTTTCCAACCCAAAGTTGTTGTCATTGTAAGTAAGAAAACTGAAGTTAAAGAAACTGAAAAAGTTATGAAATAAGAAGTTTCAGTAACAATAGAATAGAATGGGTTAACATAGTAGGTGAATGGGGCTTAAGAAGTTCAGAAGTCTTCTACATTCGCCTTTAACTCTTTCCAACCAAGAAGGTCAAAATTGACACCCCTGTCAATTGTGAAATCAACAAGATAGTGGGTATATTAGATCCACAGGGAGCAAACACAAAATTCCCTTGTTGGAGACTAATGTGTTGCTGGGTGTTTTAGTATGCACCAACTAAACATAAAATATACAAGCCTTTTAATATGTTAAATGATGCAAATGAGAAATCCAGTCACATGTGGTGCATTTGTTTCGACTGAAAGAGTTACAAGGGCGGTTGGCACACTGTGTTATGGTATGAGCTAGGCTGCACCTTTCGGACCAATACGTCCAATTTCAACAAATGCTTAATTAATTAGTTGCATTGTATGCTTAATTAATTAGTTGCATTTTAACCCATGCTTGTTAGGGAGTGGTGGGTCTATTCTTGTGTTCCCAGAGTGGGGCCCCAAAACCCAAAACAGGGAGAAAGTGATAAGAAATGAACTTGGACAGAGTTATTAAAATAAACAATGGTGAGCTGACTGGTACTGAAATAGTTAGGCATCTCATTTTGTTTTTCCTTTGTGGGTTCTGGAGGTCTCCATTTTGTTTTGTACCTCATGTGTGGGTTCTAGAGGTCTCCATTTTGTTTTGTACTTCAAGTGGGTTCTGGAGATCTCCATTTTGTTTTGTACTTCATGTGTGGGTTCTAGAGGTCTCCAATTTGTTTTGTACTTCATGTGGGTTCTGGGAATCTCCATTTTGTTATGTACTTCCTGTGGGTTGTGGGGGTCTCCATTTTGTTTTGTACTTCATGTGGGTTCTGGAGGTCTCCATTTTGTTTTGTACTTCATATGGGTTCTGGGGGTCTCCATTTTGTTTTGTACTTTATGTGGGTTCTGGAGGTCTCCATTTTGTTTTGTACTTCATGTGGGTTCTGGGGGTCTCCATTTTGTTTTGTACTTCATATGGGTTCTGGGGGTCTCTATTTTGTTTTGTACTTTATGTGGGTTCTGAGGGTCTCCATGTTGGTTCTGGAGCTCCAGTTTGTTCTGAACTCCCCATCCGGGTTCGGGGGGGGGGGGGGGGGGGGGTTCTGCACCACTCGGTGTGAACAGTGCAGAGGTACAGACAAATTATGGCCTGAGGAGAATGGCGCTGCGAGGAGCTACCAGGGATTCTGACCAATGCTTAACACTCAAGGGAAAGACAGATATATTATCAGACAGTTACTGGTGCCATCAGAATTGGAACTCTTTGCTTGCTGCTGAAGATGGGGATGGAGTGCTTATAGGAGTGTCCCGAGTGCTATGATGTTGATTCTTAATACAACAACATTCAATATTCTTCTGCCCTTTACCTGCCTAAAGAGCACAACCTTCAATTAAGTCACCTTATTTTTTTTTCTTATTGTATCTGACTGGATAAAGTTAATTATCAAAATATATCGTCAAACTAATTGGCTTTGTCCTTTTAAAAAAAAAGTCTTTTACCATTACAACACCAATTTGTTTTCTGATATTACTGATAATAGCATTACCAAGATAAAAGCAGATATGATTCAATTTAAAGTGACAATGACATCCATTTTGATAACTTTTAAGGAAAGGGCAAACTGCTTCGACATGTTTACCTGAACGCCCCATATTTGGGTTAGTCACGTGACCGTTCATATCACTGTTGTATGCCATAGACATAGGCCCTTGGTACGAAGCTGGCGGGACCTGGTAGTTATAGGAGTTGTGTGTAGCCAGTGCGTTCTTTCTCTGTTCTCTTTGTAACTGTAACACACACACATAAAACATGACATTTTATGACATGATCATTTCACTATATGCCCATCAGAAAATCAGAGATGTGGGAGTTATAGGAATTGTGTTAGTTATTAGAAATGTGTCAGTGCTATGAATTGTGTCAGTTATATAAATTGTGTTAGTTATAGGAACTGTGTCAGTTATATAAATTGTGTTAGTTATAGAAATTGTGTCAGTTATATAAATTGTGTTAGTTATAGAAATTGTGTCAGTTATATAAATTGTGTTAGTTATATAAATTGTGTCAGTTATATAAATTGTGTTAGTTATAGAAATTGTGTCAGTTATATAAATTGTGTTAGTTATAGGAATTGTGTCAGTTATATAAATTGTGTTAGTTATATAAATTGTGTCAGTTATATAAATTGTGTTAGTTATAGAAATTGTGTCAGTTATATAAATTGTGTTAGTTATAGGAATTGTGTCAGTTATATAAATTGTGTCAGTTATAGGAATTGTGTCAGTTATATAAATTGTGTTAGTTATAGAAATTGTGTGCCGCTAGTGCATTTTTTTCTCTGTTCTCTTTGTAACTGCAACACACACAGGTATGTAGGTGCTTTGCTGAAAAGAAAATCGTCACATTCAACCAGCATCCCTGAAGGGGCAGCTTTAGGTTATAATTGTGACTAGGTTATCTGCATCATATAAAATTGCTTAGCAATGCACACCACCAAGAGCCCTGAAAAGGACTCCTGCAGTGATGACGCGATAGAAGGAGACAGACCCAAATACTGTCCCGACTAGCGACTACCAAAGAGTCAATGGGCTACCCGGTCGCTGATGTAATAACGCACACAATAAATGCCACAATGTAAAGCATGATCATTTCACTATCTTCATCTGGGTAGAGAATCGACATTACAGCTTTCAGAACAGGCCCATATTAGATCTATCTCCCTCCTCTTAAGCCAGAAAAGAGTCTCCACACAGAAGGTACTCGCTATCATCTGGTTAACCACACATCTTGCCACCCTGTGTAATGAAGTCAAGCCTCTTGACTTTCTTCTGCTTCTTCTTCTCTTCCACCTTGCACCTCAGTGAAGTGTCAGGGAAGGGAAGGGGGGTGAAATTTTCGTTGATGAGCTCTGCCAAGAGCACTATTGAGATTGATGTTCATTTCTGTAAGGCTGTTCTTAATGCCATCACTCCATATTTTCCTAGGTCTTCCCCTCGCTCTATACCCGTTGTAATGTTTCAGTGTGGCCCGCTGCGGTAGGTAGTACCAGGGCATTCTTGTTAGGTGTCCAAACCACTTCATTTGTTGTTCTTTGAAGAGCTGTAAGACTAGCTTTATTCACAGCATTCGTCTGATTTCGTGACTTCGTATTCTGTCTTTCCTTGAAACTCCTGCAGCTCTTCTAAGGCATTTCATCTCTGTTGTCACAATTTTACGTTCAATGGAGGATGTAAGTACCCATGTTTGGCACTGATAGCATAGTTTCATGACTTTCAACCTGACAAATATGAATCAGGGAACTGTATTTGTACCTTGAGCTTGAGGTCATCAACTTGGAACAGCAAATCTGCATTCTGCCTGGCCTTGGTTCTCAGATCTTCCTCTTGAGCCCTTAACTTTAAAAAGAAAATGAGAGGAAAGAAATTGTTACAGCTGACAAAGAGAAAATATCCTAGCTAACTGTTACATCTAAATAGTTGAGAATCTGATATCACAGTACTGAGAACATACTCATAAATTAAAATAATGTTAACACAAACAATATATTGCACAATTTATTGCCTGGCATATTTCGCTGTATCATGTCAGGTGCATTACTACAGAGTTAAATCAACATACAATGTAGCATAACATTTAATCCTTTTAGCTGAAATACATAAATCACACTGTCAAGTTAGGCTGTACAGGTGATAAATTGTGCAAGGTATTGTTTGCGTTAACATTATTTGAATTTAAAGTGTCGGGCGAAAGACGCAAATATCTCAGCTGTGCTGTAAACAGGCATAACACAATTGTGTCACTCAAAGGAACGACGAAGAAAGAAGAAGCAGATTTAAATTTATAAAAGAAAAACATTGTTTTTGAATTCTCATAAATACGCCAGCCCATAAATTTAGTCAGCGCACAGTTCCAATGCTAATGATATAAGCTGCAGTACAATTTCATGTTAATCTTGCACTTTCTTTGAGCACTGGGTGTCTACCAGATTCTCTGGCCAGTCAATACAACTAAAGTTGATGTCAATATCAAAGGAGCAGCTGGCTGAGCGGTTGCAATGGTTACAATGTCAGGCTCTGATGCAGGAGACCTGGGTTAACCCCCGGTAAGGTGACAGAGTTTTTCTGTTGGTGGCATAATCAAACATCCTAACCTGCATAGTTCATGGTGACAGTCCTAGCCGTGAGGCCCTAAACCCTCAGGCTCTTGACCCCCTGTCAACACTGCCCTAAAGGGTAGTAAATATGGACAGTAGTGACAGTTTAGATGTCAATATCACAACCTAAATATAACTGAAGTTGATGTTATATCACTAACAGTTACTGTAACATATTCATTCATTCATTCTTTGTCCTACCGTGCCTTTTTTGTCACATAGGGTATTCCTTTCTATCCTGTGCAATTGTAACTCACGTAGATATAAAATCACTCGCAATGTTCAAACCTCGAAGCAGACATGATTTATGACACAACCCTGATACAAGCAACAGCCATGATAAAGCAAAGCATGAAGTAAGACAATCAAAACATGAGAAGTACATAAGGTGACTGTGATGAGCCAAATTAAGTCACGAGTTTTGAGACAATCATGGGTCAGACTTTGAGTGAGATACCTCACAAAGGCAAGGTCACGGCTGTCCACATATAGCCACAATGTAACTGTCATATTTATTATGTAATCTGTGCTACACAAATAAATGTATTATTTTGTGATTTTGCATCTAGCACTGGAATGAATACACAAACCTAATAAGTTGAATAGACAGATTTTCATACCAGTAGTGAAAGAACCTTTTCCCGTCTCACGTCCTTCCTTTGTCTTTCCAAAAAAATTCCCCAGTTGTCACATGTTTCACCTTTTCTCATCTCATAATTTAGTTTGAAAACTATGAGTGCCTCTTTATTATGTTTGAAAAGTTATATTTGTGTCTAATTCTGTTTCAAATCCTTATTTTTTAAATTGCTTATTTTTGGACGTCAAAAGGTATTTCTGGGAGCTTCTGTGATGTAGCAACTAGGTGCTCACCTGAAAATATTAATGTCGTGGGTCCAAATCAGAATGAAGCCAGACTTTTTTTTTTCTTTTTCAAACATGACCTTGGCTCCTAGGTCGACCCAGCCTTAACTGGGTACCAGGTTAAGTCCCAGGAAGCAAAGGTGACCGGCATGATACTGATAACATCATCCATAGTGCCAAATGGACTGAAAATACAGGTCTAGCAATGTATGCCCAAAGGGCCTGAACCCATGTGAAAGGGTCTCTTATTTTTACAAGGTGTATCTGAGAATTCTTCTCTAAAGCCATATCTCTTAGCCATACAAGTTTAAACTGGTTCAGTATAAAAGATAGTTAGAGTTTTTGTTTTGTATTATAGAAGAAATGGACTCAGGAGCTTGGTTACAACCGGTAATATTGCTGGGAAAACGGGCAAAGAAACGGACAAGAGAAAATACCTGGATGGCTTGAACCAAATGCATGAGGTGAGGAGTTGAGTTGAGTTAAGTCAAGAATTGACATCACAGCACTTGGAACATTCTCATGCGTGTCTTCATCTTCAAGAGCCAGCACAGAGTTCCAATATTGATGGTATCGGTCACAATCTGGTTATATGTCCGTCGTGCATTTCCTGTGAGTTTAGTGAGCTAGCCAGACCCTCTGGTTACACCCAGGTGCCTCATTCTTTCCGGGCCATAATATTCTTGTTTCTTTACTGATTCTGTTGCTTGTTCCCAAAAGGCCTTGACCACATCTGCCTTGTCATGTATCAATTCACCACCCAGGCATGAGGTGAGGCAAAACAATGACCCGATCAATGATTCTGGATATTGTGTGAGTTGGTGAAACATGGCAGCCTATGTTTACAGACATGGAGCATGATGATAAAAGTTTCACAATCACATCACCGATTTACAGAAAATAAGAAACTTAAACCAAGTGTGCGTAAAAAGTATGTTTAGAATACTGAATGCAACTATATCTGTAGACAACAAAAATATAATGCTGCTGTAAATTACCTGAACACTAACTCTCTTTAGTCTTGTTTCCAGAGAAGCTTTGATCTGATCACGTTCCTTCTTTAATTTCTCAGCTTTCTTCTCTGCTAAGATTCGGTCTTTCTTTTCCTTCTCAAAGTCTTCAGCAAAAACTGTCAACTAAAAGAAGAGAGTTTGTAAAAAGAACCTGGGCATGAAAATTTGAAATCTGTGAAACACTTATGGAGATATTCACCTGCAAAGAATGTGACCTTTACAGGCCAAGTGGACAAAATCTGTATTCTTCTTCCTCTTCTTCTTATTCACTAATTATTTTATATTTTACTTATAAGTATATTAGTAGTATATTAGTTAAAATTATAAACAGTTAAAATTGTTGATTAATTTTTTATTCACTAGTATATTACTTAAAATAGTATAATGACAATGTCTGGCAACTCATGAAAGGCATAATTAAAATTTATTTGAACAACAATCAATTTAGAATTCGCTATCCAGAAGAAGCCAATTCAAATTGTTTGGTAACATCTTAAGAAGGGGATAACTGAACTGCATCACGACAATGTGAAAGATGAAGTGGAAGAGAGTTAGAGGATTACCAAGAGAGAAGATGTCAGACAGCTTGGCATCATAATATGGAAGAGCCTCTTATCAGAAATGACTGACAAAAGTCGAGACAGAAGGCTGTGGGCAGACAGATTTCCAGCACCAGAAGGTATGGACTATAAGAAGAAATTACTGTATTTTTCCGTCTATAAGAAGATAGGTTTTCAAAAATTTGTGAAATTTGAAACTGAGGAGTCGTCTTTTACATGAAATGTGTTTAAAATATTGATTTCCTTATTTTTGGCTAAGAAAACAGGGGTTGTCATATATAGGTGGTATCTTATTCACTGAAAAATATGGTGCTTAGAGGAAGTGAGTAAAGGAAATGAACTGAAAGCCTGCTTAGTGTTCCTCCCCTTCTGATAGCTGTACTAACCTGCTGTTTTAGTAAGCCAATCTCTGTCTGATAATCTCTGTTTCCAGCCTGTGAAGCATTTCTGGATGGATCCTGAAATAACACAGATACGCTCAAATACAATTAGAAATAATTATTTCTTGTTCTTCATCATCTTCACTGAGTGGTGGATTTCCCCACATAGGAATCTTAGCAGAGACATTATTCTTTTACTGTTGCACCAGCACTTGGTGACAATAGATGAATGATGAGAACACTCTGAACAGATAAAAAGAAAGTTCACACTAGAGACAATATTGCAGATATATAGAATTTATTATAAGCACATGAAAGAAGAAGAAGATAAAAAGACTAATGTAGATGTTTTAAAGAAACAAACTCATGAACAGAGCTGATATCCCAAATCAGATGGAGACAATCTACATTTTTTGTCATGTCAAGAGAAGAAGAAAACAGGAGTACCTTGTGATTGTGGGAAAGCTGGATGGCAAAACAAAAAGCAGAGGAAGACCAAGAGAGAAGATGCAGGACAGTTTGACATCATAGCATGAAAGATCAACTGCGTCAGAACTGACTGAAAGTGCATGAGACAGAAGGCTGTGGATTGACGTGTCTACTAACACATGGCAATGATTATTTAATAAGAAAGAAGAAAATCACTAGGCTGACTTGAATCATGTAATGTACTGCCATGACCGGCTACAGCTGACAGAACATGCTGCTGACGTCGCTGGGTCAGGCTAATGATGCATTATTGCAGCAGTTCTCAAACTGGGTGCCGGGAGCGTATGTCAGAGGTGCGGCGGCAATAATCAAGAAAAGTCACTAAAAACTGTGAAATTATTAAAGAAAGCATGTAAATACTTAGAAGTTAAAATTTAAGTTGCCTTCCCTCGCCACTGTTGAATTGCTACGTTAACGCATTGTTACCCGACCCAGTGACGTCAGCAGCACGGCCCGTCAGCTAGAGCCGGTAGTGGTACTGCCATGAACTGATAAAACAAATTAGACAGAGATGGTTGTACCCACATCATTCAACAAGTTATCTGACATAGAAGATTTACATCACACAAAAATTTTTTTTTTAACAACCACTGAATCTAACCTTCAGACTCGCCAACTCAGATTCCAACATCTGTTTGCTTCGGGTCAAATCTTTCACTTCAGTTTTCAGACTCAACAACTGAGCATTAAGTTCATCAATAAGCCTCTGCAATGCTAATTTTTCCTCCTCGACACTTTCACTTGCTTTCACCAAATCCTGTATGGAATTCTGAAGGAGAAGTATTTTTAATTAAAGTTCACAGCAGTTTGTTGCTAAGAGTCTTCTACTACAACATATCTTCTTCCTCTTCTTCGTGGTCATCGGCTGTAAACTCTAGCCAAAAGTTCTTGTTGTTTAGCCACTTCTGGACTTTAGTCTTGTTGCACCGATCTGGCTTACTTGTGTTGACTGTTTCAGACAGATACGCTTCAAGTTCAAAGGAAACACCCCTAATTAGTCACATTTTCTGACATGCTTGTTAGGGAGGCAGTGGTTCTGCCCCCCCCCCCCTCCCTCTTCCACCACAATAGGCCGCTAAACACACACTGGAAAGATAATTCAAATGAAGGTACTTAATTTAGTTTAATGAGTATAAACAAGTTCTATCAAAGAAAAGGAAAAGACACATACAATTATACAAGTGAATGTTTTCACTAGTCATTATCAATGGACAAAACAAAATAATTTTACTTAGCACATCTGGCACACAAAAGTAGGACCCCAATTAAGTTTTATAAAGTAACAATTCTGGAAGAAGATAGTAATAAATGTATGAAGCACTGTAATTAAATGTGTGTACTGTCACATTTCAAGTTCCAGGTAACCATAAGTTTAGAATATCACTGTTATATACAGGTGTTTTAGTAACTGATCTTAGCTATAATGTTGTTAACTACTGAAGAAAGAGTATTTTTGGTTCAGCATGTGTTCCTTAACAGTGGCAGGATTCGAACATGTTTGTTTAACAAATTATCAGAACAATTTAACCAGTAGAATCAATTGTGAATAGAGCTGTAAAAATCAGTAACCAAAAAAAAACACACTAGAGCAGCACATGTTTCATTAACGAGTCAGATAGTGATTACAAAAAGAGTAACTGCAATATTTGCAAAAGATACAGTTATTAAACATACCAAACGCTGCCTTTATTATACCATTTCTGCGATATAGGCGGGTGGGGGTGGGGGTCTTTGAGCCTGAGGATTTATAGCTGCATGGCTAGTGCTGTCGCCACAACTGTGCAGGTGAGGTTTTTATTTTGCCCGCGACAGAAAAAATCCCCAGCCTTACTGAGGATTCGAAACCGGGTCTCCCACTTGAGGGCCCAGCGTTCTAACTGGTCGGCCAGCCGACGTCACTGAACATACACCCTACACAAAAAGAACAACTTTGAAGTAAATAAGAAATTACTCACATTCCGAATCTGCAGCTCTTTGTCTAGAGTGGCCACATTCTCTTGCAGGTTTTTATTCATGGCCTCAAGGGAGTTTACTCTTGCCTCCAAGTCTGCCTTTTCTTCTTGAGTTTGTTGTCGTAAAACTTCCCATTTGCTGTGCCAGTCTTTATTTGCAGTGAAAAGCTGCAGCAGAAAATGATTTTCAAATAACTACATCAGTAAACAAACATTACATTTCTTATTGCCTTTTGTTTACATGTTTTATGTAGTAAGACGGAAAAAATAACCAAATTGTGACCCCTACCATCAGTTTTGGAACTTTGCGCTGGCTGCTGAAGATGAGGACAGAGCATGCATGGGAATGCCTTGAGTACTGTGATGTCAATTCTTGACTTAACTCAACTCATATGAAAGACTAAATCACCCATGAGTGCCAGCTGGTCTGAACAAATCTGAGTCTGGCACCACAAGCCTAATGTGCCATGGCGTGCACACAAAAAGGGTCTTTTGCTTTCTATAAGACAAGCACAATTTCATAAAGCATGAGGATGATGATGATCACATTATAAAACAGACAACTTAATTAAGTTTTCAGATAAGAAGATAAAATTACAGATCACAACCAAGGAGCATCAATCCTGAATAAGCTGAGCCTTTAGGGATAGTCCCATATTTGCAAAGACCTATCATCACTCAGTAGGTAAAAAGTCTTTTTTCACATCTTTGGGCGCATTGGGAATACAGGGCTAGAACTATATTTTTATAGACCAATCGGCACTTGGTGGGTGATGTTCACTCAAAAAGTGATATGATCAAAGTCATAAAAATTGACTTTACTTCCTGGCACCCATTTAAGGCTAGGTTGACCTGGAAAATATTGTCGCCATCATCACTATGTTGTATCATTAAAAGTTACATAGTGATCACAGTCTAGTCTTCCGTTCCGTTTTAATCATTGCAATCCCTTCAATTTCATGGATGGTCTTTCTGAACATCTGACAATTTCTCCACGACGCATCTGGAATTCAGGTCAACTAACAATATAGACCTATGACCATCTGGTAAGTCTACTTGCCACAGCACTTCTATAACACTCAAGTGTTTTACTCAAATAATTTAACAATCTATAGGCTGAAATTTAAAAATTCAGCCACTGATAGCTCGGTTTCTTTAGATTTAGCATGGATTTCAGAGCACATTTTCAAATCTGCTGCATTTGCCTTGCTTTCTGGGGGTGCTGTTTATGTTTTAATGCGAAAGTACTCCAAAATCAGCTGCTGGGTCTTGCTTGCATGTGCTAACAGGCATTTGTGCTTATTCTTTCTCATTGTATCATTTATTTGCTCCTGTACAGGAGTCCATGAATATTACAATTTAATTTTAATTTGCTTTTTATTTTGTGTTGTGAATTTTCTTTCTTTAAAGGACCGTGGAGGCAGTCATTTCTGTTAAATATGTACAGCATATAAAACCACTTTTGCAAAATCTAGCATTTTTACAAATCTGGCACTCTTCAGATCTCAAGGCTGCAGGATTTTTGTATGTCAACATGTAGTAAAATTTTTTATTCAATCACACTCGATTTCGAAAGATAATCTAATAGAAAAACAAAATTCTATACACACCCTGGTATTGATGTTGCTCAAAGATTCAATCTTCTTCATCAAGGGACTATCAGGGTATTGGGCTCTCACTGGATCTGCCATGTTCTGGGAACATAAATTGTTAGAACTGTGTATGTGCCTTAATTCAATGTTTATGATGTTTCATTTACATTAAGGTTAGGTTCCTGAATGGACACATGCAAATGTGTGGTATTGTTTGATTTATGTATGTGCTGATAAAGGTTCATGTTTTGTTTGTGTTTGTTCTATTGTGAAGCTTGCTGATATACTTTTCGTTCGGTTTTATATCTTTTCAAACTGGAATCTTCTCGTTTGGTTTTATATCTTTTCAAACTGGAATCTTTTTATTCGGTTTTATATCTTTTCAAACTGGAATCTTTTCGTTCGGTTTTATATATTTTCAAACTTGAATCTTTTTGTTCAGTTTTATATCATTTTCCAAAGTGGAATCAGTGTTAATGGAATTCCTGAAAATACTGGCTGTGTAAGAATTATCTAGGAAATTTCTTACTGGTGAGGAATTAATGATGTTAAGGTAAAGAAAAGAAAAATTAGCCTTATGTGAGAATAATATAAGCAAAGGAGGCAAAGGATGATAAATATTTGTATAGAAAACATAAACAGCTGGGCAATAAATAATAACCTTGTAGTAGTAATGGGAGTATTTAATGGATAACAATAATAACCTGGTAGTAGTAATTGCCTAGTGGTAGTAATGGGAGTATTTAATGCATATAAATAATACCTGGTAGTAGTAATTGCCTAGTGGTAGTACAGGGAGTATTTAATGCATATAAATAATACCTGGTAGTAGTAATTGCCTAGTGGTAGTACAGGGAGTATTTAATGCATATAAATAATACCTGGTAGTAGTAATTGCCTAGTAGTAGTACAGGGAGTATTTAATGCATATAAATAATACCTGGTAGTAGTAATTGCCTAGTAGTAGTAATGGGAGTATTTAATGCATATAAATAATACCTGGTAGTAGTAATTGCCTAGTAGTAGTAATGGGAGTATTTAATGCATATAAATAATACCTGGTAGTAGTAATTGCCTAGTAGTAGTAATGGGAGTATTTAATGCATATAAATAATACCTGGTAGTAGTAATTGCCTAGTAGTAGTAATAGGAGTATTTAATGGATAAAAATAATAACCTGGTAGTAGTAATTGCCTAGTAGTAGTAATGGGAATATTTAATGGATACGCTCGCCTGCGGATCTGAGGGTCATAAGTTCAGGCCCTGACGGAACTGGAGTTTTTTCAAAAGCGACCTTAGCTCCCAGGTCGATCCAGCCTTGACAGGGTAAAAGGTGAAGTCATGGAAAGTAAATGTGGCGAGTGTGATGGTGACCACATCACCCACTGAGTGCCGATTGGTATATAAAATACAGGTCTAGCCCTATGTGCCCAATATGCCAAAAGGCGTGGAAAATGGTTCTTTACTTTTACTGGCGCTGTTTACAAGTTTAAGTTACAGTCGAGAGGTGTGACTCCTCTGCAGTGGTTTTATCCCATGTAGCTAGTCACCTGCAAGAAGTGCCACACAAAGACACGAACACTATAGTTACAGTGGCAATCACTAGCGATCTCTGTAAAAATTGCATGCATGAATTCAATAACCCCCCCCCCCTTCCCAACCATGTGCATTCCCTGGTCCCATTGTGGGGAAAACAAGAATAGACCCACTGCCTACACAAAAAAGAATGTCGTAAAGAGTAGACTAATTGGAAGCTTCCTTTTAAGTCGGAGTACATCTGCCTGAGAGGCAAGGAACTAACAGTCTGCATGCAAATAATCAGATTTGTGAAACGGATGTGAACGCACCACTTATTTCTGGAACAGGACTAGAGTCCGGAAGTGGACAAACAACCAGAACCTTCCGCTGGAGTTTACAGCTGGGAAACATGAAGAAGAAGAAGACTGACTGACTTTCTACCCTACCAGGACATCACACTAGCGATAAACACCCGATGACACAATGTGCCACCTTGTGGATGAGGAGCACCGTGGAGAGGTCCCAGAAACCGCACTCAGCCAATTGGCCATATTTATGGCCTGACTATATTGCGGCCCCTGGCAAGAGCCAGGGTGGGGCTTCAAATAACGGGAAAAAATGTGTCCTTAAAGGGATGGCAAATAGTATGAAGAGAATGAACTCACCAAGAAGAAGATGAAGTGCATAAGGCAAATGGAGCAATCGTTTTGCCATGGAACCCTAATGGACCAGCTATTTCGTACAGAATGAGAAAATGAAATACACATCAATAGGAGTTACCTGGTTGCCAAGAACAGTATCCCAGGTTGGCTCAGCTTGGTTGCTCTTGCTGCCCCTGAAGGCTGCAATAAATTCTAGAAGCGTATCATTCTCACTTTTTAGAACAGAAATCTCTTCCCTGTTGGATTACACAAGCCAGATTTGCAAAACATTAATCACAGTTGATACAATTATGAGAGGTGTTCAGCAAGTATTACACCACTTCATTTTTGCAAGTATTACACCACTTCGTTTTTGCAAGGAGCTATTCATTCAAAAAGCATGAAATTTATAGAGAATTGAATATGCGAGGATAGGTCAATAGACACCAGTATTACTTAACATAATCCCTATCAACCTGTAGTTTTATACCAGCGCAAAACAAATGCAGGTATTCCTAGCCTGTACTAAAGACTATTCTGATCATGTAAACATTTCTTTGCTGCATAAATCACTCCTTCAGCATCTTCAAATATTGTCCTACAGAGTGCATTTTTAAGTGGACCAAAAGAAATGAAAATCAAGGGGTGCCGAATCTGGTCTTCAGGGTGGATGGGGTCATACAGTCCAATCCAATCTGGTGACTGCTTCCTGTGTTGCCAGACTTGTGTGAGGGCGCGTGTTGTCAGGAAAGAGAAGCAGGTCTGCTGGATTCTTGTGCAGCTGAACTCTGCAAAACCGCTGACTGAGTGCTTTCAATGTCTGAATGTAAGGCTGTGAATTGGTTAACTTTCCTCTTGGCATAACATCCACAAGAATCACATCTTTCATGTCTAAAAAGACGGTGATAATGACCTCTCCAGCTGAAGGAATTGTCTTGAATTTATTTTTTCTTTCTTTTTTTTTGTGTGGTGACTGCGGAAGATGCCATCCAATGACTCTATTTTTGTCTCAGGAACAAAATGATGTGTCTAGGTTTCATCACTTATAATGATCTTAGCCAAAAAGTTCTCTCCAACGCTTGAAACGCTCCAACAATTTAGAAGAAGGTGCTTTGTAATCAGTGAAAATTTGTGAGACTTCAGGGAACCCATCTTGGGCAAAACTTAGAAAAACCTAGTGTTTGTAACTGCATTTTTCACTGCCATTCTGACTGACAGATGTAAGGCCAATTGTTGAGTAGTAATTCACATATCAGCAACAATAATGCCATCAGCGCATTTCAACATTTCTGCACTGGTGGCTGTGGTAGGACATCTACAGCACTGCTGCTCAAGGAGCTCAGTATCTCCACTTTCTGATTCTTTGGTTCTTTGAACCAAGCGATTGAATGTACTCCCATGGACTGCAGAACATCCAAACACATCACTCAGATGCTTGTGAATGTTAATATTTTCCTTCTCTGAAACGAGACATTCCACCAAATTAGCTGCTTATAATGCAAGTTGATAAGATGCTACATTTCAACATTTAGTGCAGCAGTATTATCTGCTCGGCTATGATGCAATTTGTAGCACATAATAAGAACATGCCATATTGAAGTATGCAAAATTGCATGCTTCTATCATCATTATTAGCTGAGAAACACACTATGGTGCATTACCTTCTGAACATCCCTAATCCCTCATATTAACTCAAAGTCTACACTACATTGGTGAGCTATGGTGGCACAACACTTCATGTCCTTCAATCCCAAATCTGTGGTCTGTGTTCAAACTTCAGCAAAGGCATAATTTTTTTTTTTTTTTTGGGTACTGATGGCTCTGGTCTAACCCAGCTTAATAAAAACTGGTAACAGACAATGTTCAGTACTGTATGGAAAGGCAAAGCCACAAATGAGGGAAACTGTCACCCCACTTCATATTTGATGGCCTAGTAAACTCAAGCAGAATTTTCTGGTTGTTCATCCACCTCTAGACTGTGGTTACAGAACCTGAGAATTGCGTGTACAACCATTTTACAGATTTGACATATCTGTATACAAACAGCGGTTCCTTGTCTCTCTGGTACTCCAACTTCAAAGGAAGCCCAAAATTAGTCAAGTGACATGCTTGTTAGGGAGGCAGGTTTTCCCCACAAGAAACCCACACGGGGAATGGCCTAGAATATTTCAGGGCCTAACACTTCCCATACTACAGGCAAGCAATTTCACAGTGGAACTTCTTTTACCTATTCTGTAGCCCGGCTCTCTAGGGTAGTTGGCTAAACCGGATTGCGCGGTGAGCGGGTGACGAACTCCTTGTGGTCCGGGTTCACTCCCGGGGGTAGGCAGAAAAGCCACATTTTCAACCCAGATTTACAGTATTTACAATGGAATCAAGGCCGAAAGGCTGCGATATCTATAATACCGAGCCTAAGGGTTAACAACTCATAGCTTCTGGATACTAAAACAAACAAACAAACCTATTCTATAAACAAAAAGTCAAGGTAATCTAGTAGCAAAAGATCAGTAGGGTGTGGTTAAAAACTCTAATAAACCCACGCTAAACACCAAGGTACTCATGCTTTTAAGCCATCGGTCAGGGATCTAACTTCATCCCCAACGGGTCACCATAAACTGCTCCATTCCTACGCCAGTGAAAACCACACAACATGCCCATCACAGTCCAATGTGAAAAGTCAAACAGACAGCAGTCCTGCAAAATTCAACAGCTTGAACACACACCAAATGCATAAGGCAGCTGTTAAAGGTGCTAATACCTACAGTCTGTCATTAGAACTGCTATTTATAATTGATAAAACAACAGTCACGATAAACCAGCAGGTGCACACACATTACTGCATAAGGCATACACACAGGCAATTATGTGGTAATCAGCCACTCACCATTTTCTGAATATCAAACACATATCTCCTGGTCCTGTAGCAGCAAGACTATATACTAAAACAGTTTCTATACAGTTTTCATACCAGGGACCAAACTGTTAATTTAAGGTTTTTTATGCACTTTCAGGAAGACATCTGAATAAAGTGGTTAGCATCAGACAAGTTTCTACAGCAGCCAGACTATACTCTTAGACTGTTTCCCTACAATTTACCATACCAGAGATCAAACAGCTAAATGTTAGAATTTTCTTGCCCAGAAAGACTCCTGGATCATCAAGAGATGCCAGTAAGTGTTCAACTCACATATGGTTCTATAGAACAGAACTAAACTTTGTAAAAGGTTTCTCTACAATTTTTCAGAGCAGGAATCAAACAGTTAATATCAAAGTTGTATGTGTATTCAAGAAGATGCTTAATTATCATACATGAACACATAACAGTACCTGAGTTTTGAATTCTCTTGACTAAATTCCGAAAGCCTTTGAAACTGCTGGATCCGGGATTGCTGTTGCTGGATCAAAGTCTGTATTTGTTGTCAAAAAATATCAAATCTCATGGAAAAAACAATCTACAATGAAATTAATTGAAATCAACAACAAATGCAACTTGGAGAAATCTTTTGGGGGGGGGGGGGGGGGGGGGGGGGGGGAGAGTTACTAATCCCAACACTTGATGATTACTGGGGGGACAAAGGTACCTCTGGTAACCTCTTGCTTATACCTATACACAAGTAGCATAGTCTAAAAGTAAGTTTAATTACTTTTATAGGATGCTGCAGAACCAACTCCACCATGTGTGTGTGTGTGTGTGTGGCAATATTCAAGTTCAGTAGTTTGCCAATACTTCTGAATGTTAGGCTCTCGGCACCACTGTCAAAACCAACACAAGGCATTCTGCCACCAGATCACCTGCAGCCAGATTCAAACACAGCACCTTGAAATTATGAAGTGTGTCTGCAACAAAGCCGCAGATGCTGACAGCAGCAATGTTAAAATATGCATGTCGGAGGCAACCTGAAGGTCCCCCCCCCCCCCCCCCAATTGCCTTAAAGAGCTACTTTCCAGATGCCAATCCAACAAATACAAATCCAAGATGTCGAAGAAACCAGAGGGTCACAGAGGCATTATTCATATGTACTTAAAAAAGGAAAAAAAGAAAACCCATTTCCTTTCACTACAACAGTTAGTCGCCTTTTACGACACGCCTGTTAGGGAGCAGTGGGTCTAGTCTTTTCCCCTGCAACATGGAGCCCTAGACCCACACGAGGACAAAGAGATTTCAATGATCAAACATGATTTTCTTCTCAACTCTTTAAGTCCCAGATGGCCTTAGCAAAATATCTAAGAGACACAAAAATCACATCCCTAATCTCATGGGTATACTACTTTCACAGAGGCCAAATGCACAATCCTTGTTGTCTAGGTGTTTTTTGTTTTTAAACTCCTCTACTAAACATGGGACATTAAAACATGTATAACATTTTCACTGATAAACATAAATAGTATCCAAACACATGTAGCGCATTGCTTGGATCAGAAAGAGTTAAAGAAAAAACAGGTGGACATGCTGAAAGTAACAGATCAACATTTGGTGATTTGCTTGGTATAAGAAGAGCTGACTCCCTGTGTTAGTTCCAGGGCCCAATTTGTGGGTGTGTGTGTGTGTGTGTAAGTGTGTGTGTAGAGGGAAAGGGAGGGAGGTGCGGGGCCTACTGCCTCCTTAACAAGCATTTCAAGCTAGGTAACCAATTAGCAGTTTACTGAAATCAAATATTTAGGGCCAAAATGTAATTTTCACCCCAACAGGAAATGTGAACCGTCTTTTTAAGGTTGAATGAAAAAAGAAGAAGAAGAAGAGGAAGAAGAAGAAAGAGGCCGAGGAGAAACAGCAGCAGCAGCCGACACAGCAACAAAAGAATAAAAATAATAATATAACTCAATAAGTTGAACACACTCTCAAAGCTCACCTTGGAGTCACTCAGCTGAGACTCCAAATTTTTCGCAGCTTCAGCAAACTTGTACAACATGTTACTCATCCCCATGGGGGAGTCACTTTTCTCTAAGATGGCTACCATGCTCTGTACCTGGTTAGTTAAGCATGGTTCTTCTTCAGCAGGAACCTACAAATGTAGTTTAGAATTCATGGTTAGTTGAGCACTGTTCTTCTTCATATGCATGGCTTTGAAACAGGACCTTAAATACCAGATTTGAAAGAAACTAGTGGCCAGAGAGACATAATTCTGTACTAAAATGATAAGAATTAAACAGCTAAAAATTGATAAATATTCAAGTAATACAGAAGGCAATTCACAAGGGTCTGGCTATTTGTTTGGCCAAATTATGAAGGGGAAAGCATTGTGACGAGTCTGAAGTTTGTGAGAGAAAAGTAACAAAATGAGAAAATGTGGGATAGGTCGGCTGTAACTATCTGGAAATTGTCTCACATCCATATTTATGAGACTGGGTTTATCTTCCTTATTCACCTTTAAAATAGTTGTCACAGGATATGTTTTGGTTATCCTATTTCAATCAAGGTTATCTCTCTCAAGGAGGCAGGCCAAGCAGATGATCCAGGAGACGGTGAATCGACAACATTAAAAAGACAATACAATACAAGCAGCCAAAGAAATAAGTAAATCAACACAGAACTGGTGTTATCAATCGCCACACGTTCAGGGATAAGGTGAAGATGGGATCCGAGTGTTTATGGACTTGTCCGGTCAGGATAATCAGCTGATTAAGTAACTAATTATTCTGACTTACTGTAACAAGACCACTTTGCTGGCTGTAAACTGGGTTTGTTGTGCTAGTTCTGGTAATTCTATTCTGCTCTGTCACAGGTGACGGTGAGTTTGTGTTGAGACTGGAAAAGGTCATCAAGTCGTCACAGCCACTGTTTTGCTCCTAGACAGAAGAAAGAAGGTTTTCATGGAACAGATACTTATACTTTTAAACAGTGACTCATTAAGGGAAAATACAATTAACTGTGGAGATAGCACAACCCAACTGTAAAAATCCCCAAGACACCATTAGCAGACTCAACAGAAAGCAACATTCAACAATTTTCTGTCAAGAACAGGACACTGCAGGCTAAACTACCACATGCATAAAATAAAGGACTGTTCAGTCCCCACAAACACTTGAGCACATTCTGCAGACCTGCCCACTTTACCTACAACTTGGAAAAGACACCTGGCCTCAAGAGCAAAGTGTGCAGAGCAAGCTATGGGGAACCACGAAAGACCTGCTGCTGACATGCGAGTTCATAGAGGCAATCCACCCGATGATCTGACCTGAGCATGTCAAACTGATGCAAAGAAGAAGAAGAAACAGTGATCATCATCATTTGTTGGCATTGGAATACTGATACTTGATAAGGCAAACGTGGTTAGTGCCTTGTGGGAGAGCGTGTACAGCTCGGAGGAGCAGATGGATCACCATAGTCTGGTGAGATTGTTGCAGCGGGGAGTGACGAGAGGTTCTGGCAGATGCTCGAGGCTCAGAGGAAAGGCAAGACGGACGTTTAATCAGAAGGCTACTGGCACCATTAGTATTGGAACTCTTCGCTGGCTGCTGAAGATGGGGACGGAGCGCTTATGGGAATGCCCTGAGTGCTGTGGTGTCGGTTCTTGAATCAAATCAATTCAAAATCAATCGTTGGCATTATGCCTAATCACTCGAGCACTATGCCAAAGTCACCTAAGTGCATTTTAAAGGTTGTAATTTGTCCATTTACAATATACCAAAGGCACACATGGGAATTCATACTCCATATAGGTCAAAATGAAGTATTACTTTTCCAGCAACTATACAATTTTAATATTTTATTTAAATAAAATTTTTCAAAAAGCTCTTCTCCTTCTTCTTAGCTGTATGTTTTGGTGGAAAGTTCTGGCTGTTTATCCTCTTCAGTCTTGTTCAAGATCTTGAGTTCTGTGTGCACATCCATTTACAGATCTGGCTTATCTGGTTGCCGTCTGCTGGTTTACTGCCTCATAGGCAGACGCACTCCAACTTTAAAGGCAACCTTTTAGCTAGTCGCCTTTTACGAGATGCTTATAAGGGGGCAGTGGGTCTAGTCTTTTTCTCCGCAAAACCGAGCCCTAGACCATGGGGACAAAGAGATCTCAATGTTCAAACATGATTTTCTCTAAACAAAGATTTTAGCACTTCACTAACTTTGGCATAGAGCGAGCAATTTTACTCTTTGGGAGTTTTCAAAAAATGTCAAAGTGCATACTGCTGTGGCACACAAAGAAGTTAGAAATGGCATTAAGATTAACCAAGAAAATTTAGTTTATCATCATCATCATGTGCCTTCCTGAAAAGCATAGGTAATCATGATTCATCATCTCATAAAATTACCAGAATCATGGATCATATCTGTGTTCTTGACCGGCTTAAGCCATGTGGCCAAGCCATCCAGGTTTCATCTCTTTGTCAGGATTTTGCTCTTTTCTATCAAGCTTTGTTTGATGTCAACATGTTTTTTTAATTTAAAATGTTAGCTACTTTTTATCTGTTTCTAGTAAATGATTGAAGCAAGTTTCTGCCCTTTATGCTCCAACACAGCAAAGGTCCTCAAACAACTCAAGTTATCCTACCCATTGCTAATGCATGAATCTCACCCCATGTCCTTCTTATCTTTTTTTTTAGCTTCACTCTCCAGCTCCCTTCTCCGTGTGTTTTTGGTCTACCTTTATTTCTATGCCGCTCTGGGTTCCAGTGTAAAGATATTCAAGTTTTATTTTCTTCTTCTTTGCATTCCCAGGCTGTAAACTCTGGTGGAAACTTCTGGTTGTTTTTCCACCTCTGAAAACCACCTTGTTTCAAAGCCTGAGTGTTGCATGCACATATGCAGACTGTTGGTTCCTTGCCCCTCAGGCAGATGCACCCCAACTGTGAAGGAAGCCCCCAATTGGTCGACTCTTATGACAATGCTTGCTGCGGAGTCAGTGGGTCTGTTCTTGTTTTCCACACAATGGGGCCCCGGAACCCACATGGGGTTCCAGTTATATAATTCTCAGTTTCTTTCCTTGTGTCTTATTCAATGATATTATTATTATATGCTGCACTGTTTTATTATCTATATATAATGTGAATTTTTTAAGTGTACATAGACATTTTTGAAAGAGGTGTAATAATAGAAATACAAAACTGGTGACACTGATACCTACCCAATGTTGATTTTCTGGAAGTTTCTCTCCCATATTAATGTTCATAGCTGAGACTTTCTGTAGGTCCGATTTTGAGAAGTTTGTATCATAAACGTTAATCATTTCACTTTTTGCATTTTCTTGTGTTTTCACGGGTATCTGGTCCCCATGTTGGGGTGTACCATAATTACTTGGTTTTATAAGACCCCCATTAGAATAACCTCTAGCCTGGGAAGTCGCAATGTTCAAGGGTTTCCATTCCTTTGGTCTTGTACCTACGTCATGTGCTCCAGTTTGAATAAAACTGTTGAAAGCTAAAGAAGTATTGTTTGCAGCCTGATATGAGTTAGCAGAATTTGCCAAATTCTCTCTTGCTTGTAGTGAAGTCCTGACACCCAACTGCCGGGTTGTTTCTGCAGGTTCCAGTTTATTAACTTCTGGATCCATCTGCCAGGCTGATTTTTTGTTCCCGTGGACAAATGCTAGAACTGCAGCAGAGCCTTCATTTGGAGCTGGGTATGAGTTCAACTGGTTCAATGCTGAGAGATGAAAGTTTTGTTCACTGGCTGCCACATTTGCTGAAAGTACTCTACAAAGTCCGACTGAGGTTTTAGGAGGTCCCACAACATTTGCTGGGACAGTGTTTACATTTTTCAGAGACTGGAAGGGCTGATCCCTTGCAACTGGAGGCAAATCATAGCTCTGTTGTTGAGACGAAACAGCTATACTTCTGTGATAAAACCTTGGACTATGCTCCACTGTTTCATCAGCTGGAATTTGTGAAGACGAACCAACTTCTTGCATTGGTGAAAACAGTTCACTTGTAGAACACGGAAACTTTGAAATAATTTCAAAAGATGGAGAACTGTGACTGTGAGATAATGTTTCTCTTCGACATGAGGTATCCAAATCTGCCAGTCCCTGCTTTCTTTCCTAACAAATGTGAAAATATTAACTTCTGTTATTTCTAATACATTTTGTAACCTGTAGCTATAATTAAATGTACTGTTTTTATTTGTGTATAAGATGATGCGATTTTCCAAATTTTTTAAGTTTAGAATTCAGGGTCGTCTTTTACACAGAATGTGTTTAAAATATTTATTTCTTAATTCTGGACCCCAAAAAAAAGGGTTGTCTTATATATGGAGGCCTCTTATACACATAAAAATATGGCACATTGTGACTTTTTTTTTCATTTTTCAAGATATACACTACCACAACAGTTTGCTTTAAAAATTGTTAAACTTGTTAGTATTATCAACAAGTCTGAGAAAGTAAAGGAAGATACTTTTAGAAATGTTTTACCTAGTGTCACACTACCAGTAAGGGCTTAACTTAAAAATTTTGTACCAATAAGCACATTAACTTAACTGAAGCTGTCTGGACACATAGCTGTTAATTACTTAGCTATTATGGCATACATGAGAAACTATATTATGTGTTGTAATGTCAGTCAGACATAACAAACAGGTAAGCAGACAGACTGACATAAAAACATGGACAACAGACACAGAAGGCAGCAAAAACACAGATATAAGATACTCAGACAGATCAAACAGACAGACAAGCAGGCAGACAGACAAACATAAAAATCATCTCTATAAATTATTTATTGGTCTCTGATGATGGAAGCATTAGTAATCAGTCTCCCACTACTGTTTGTCCTTAATTCTTTCAGTCCCTAACAACGTGTGATGTGTGATTAGTACTTCTGTGAATCCCAGCTAATATGTAACAGGTTCTAGTTCTTCTCACAGCTGGTCACAACAAACAAAGAAATCTGGCTCCCCCAGTAATTAGCATTTTTGAAAGCAATACACTTATGGTTTTTCCTATTGGTTATTTATACATATGGTATCTTCCAGTAAAACTGCTAGTACTCAAGGAGTTAACAGCATTCAATCATCATAATTTAGCAGCTCCTTTACAGGATGTCCCACAGCCCGCCTGTAAAAAAACACCCTCACCAGCTCTCCCACCCAAGATGTCTTTCAGTACTGTGCCCAATCTTACCCGTTACCATTCTCTCCACAACTGTTTTTGTTTTCACAGTCAGCTGTGGCATTTGATATGGCCAAAGTATTTCAGTTTTCAAGACAAGATGCTGTTTATGAGCTACTTTTCCTAGATTTTCAGATCTTCTGAGATGCCTATTTTCCTTTCCTTCTTGTATAAGAGTATATACAGACATAAAAATGTTGCATCTTATTAATTTTTTGGTGCCACCAATCCAGGAATTTCTCTACATTTTTCTTTTTCTCATTTGCCCTCAAATGTTCCCTAGAAGGTTACCTCTGAGAGGGTGTCAGGAAATGCTACAGGTTCAAGCCAGATTTGCTTATCCCATTTAACCACATATATGTTTTTTCAAGTGTATTTTCCCCCCCCCCCCCCCCTGGGGAAAATCAATCAAATACATAGGTAGTGAAGAGCTTGGGAATGATTAGACAGCTGTCAAAGAAAATAAAAATTAAAAAAAGAGAGAGAGAGAGAAATAAGTGAAATATTTCTGCTACATTAAAAGACACAACTTATTTTCTCTACTCCTGGAATGCCTCGTGGCATCACAGCAGGAAGAGATCTCTAGAACGGGCCCTTCAGTTTGCTTCGTATACAGTACATTTCAGTGTCTCTGATATTTCTGCGGTCTATCTTCTGCATAGTTGACGCCTGGCTCTGTTACCACTGTATAGGTACAGCATTGCTCTCTGTGGTGCCCTGTCTGATGTCAATCGTGTAACATGGCAAAACAGTTGATTTGTTGTCTACCTATAAAGTTTAGTACTGATTCTGTGCCGACTCTCCTTCTGATTTCATCGTTCCAAAGTTGACCTTTCCAAAAAAACCACACTGAAGGGAATATGAGAATACCCATAAGCAAGAGGCACTAAGACAAATGGGTGGATAATATCAAAAAATGGGTGAACATAGTCATCCAAGTTTAAAGTCAATGTCTGGGGATTCGCTGGAGCCAACAGCCTTTATTGTGAAGACAGTACCTGACTATTTAACTCCCTGTTTCTGAGGATCTGTTTTTTTGTTTCCCCATATCATGTGTACAGGCTGCAGGATTGTGTCCAACCATTACAGTTCTAGTAGTCAGATGTTGAAATTCCAGAACCCAGTATCAATGGTCTATCTCCTCAGGGGACTGTGTCTCCTTCCCCCCCCCTTTTCTTATAATTCTCCTTCTTATTCTACATTTCCACTTACAAGATTGTATTGTAATACATTATACATTTTTGGCTGCAATATCTACTACATCTTTTGGCCGAACAAATACAATTCATCAAACCTTCAATTATATGATTTTTTTACAACATGCTTGAAAGAGCAGTGGGTCTACCACTCCTCCCCCCCCCCCAACCCCCACCCTTTTTTATCACCAAATAAAGGGAGTGTGAGAACCTACACAGTAACCTTCTTATAATTAATAAAATGCTGTTATGGCTAAGATTACCTGCTACAAATATATGAGTTAATGAAATCATATATAAAAGATAAACAGATTTGTCTGCCCAATTTTACACTCTTTCATTCATTACAACAGCAGGCTACAAGTCAAAAGGCCAACCAAGAAAGAGCTGGGTGGAGGCAGTAAAAGAGATACTCCATAAATACAATATGACATTAACACAAGCTATGCAACTAGCAAAAGACAAGAAACTATCTGACTCCTCTCTGCATTGCTTAACAGCACAAGCAGTAGGACAAAAGAAGATTCCTTTGTTCATTCTCCAAGCTCACAAGTTGCATTTGGATGTGCAAGACTGGTACTGAACTTCACATCCGAGAAAAGAATATCAGAAGGCATCCAGGTCATAATTCAGTAGAGTACATATGAATTAGACTCAGTAATATTTCCTTCACAGGTTTTAGATATTCTCTAACAAACTTTAACTGTAATGACATACTTTATACCATATTAGGAGAGACATCTAGTTAACATTAACTATGTGTAAGAAGCGGTTTAAAAAGGCCACAGGCAAGAAAAGACAAACATGAGGTTTAGCAGAACGTGGATTCAACATACCTGCAGTAGTTTTTCTAGGATCAGTATTTTATTTTGCTGTTCTGCTTCACTAGCTCTGTAATGAGCTATCTCCTTTTCCTGCACTTCTTGCTTTCTCTGAAGTTCTGCTATAGTTGCTTGAAGTTTTGGGAGTTGTTTAACTGCAAAAAGTGAATAATTGTATAGAAAATACCCAAATTAGCTAATCATATGTAACATATTCATTTAATTATCCTGTAGTGCCATTATATGTCACACAGGGCTCACAGTCCGCACATCCATTATGTTCTATCCTGGGCAGACTGAAAGAAAGAGAGACAGAGACAGCCAGAGGGTGAAGGAGGGAGAGAGAGATCACACAGGGTGTGAGGGAAAGGTAAGAGGAAGAAAGAAACAGAGAGGAGGGAGAGAGAGAAAGTATGAGAGAGGGGGATGCAGGAAGGAAACTGAAGAGACAGAAAAACATGTCAATATACATGTACAGAAAGCCATCCTATAGAAGTTATTGCCATACAGGGGTGAAATGTCAGATCTGCCACATATTTCAAGCCATGACCTACCATCTTGGATGATCAGCTCCCTTCTTTAACACACAGTGATGCTTCAGTATACATCTGTGTTCTAATAAGTTCACCGTGCAACATTTTACTTGGTGTAGGACCTTTGCTTGGAATATGACCCGCATGCTAGAATGTGTGAACCGCAACCAGGTCCAAATAGGAGAAAGGAAAAAAAAAAACACACACACACAAAGAAAGACACAAAACATCATAATTTCAGGTTCCTGGAGTGTTACTGAAAAAAGACTCTCCCTTCTCAGCTCCATCATAGTAGGCACTTGACTCTTCTCAATAAGATAAAGTGAGGTTACATTTTTATTTATTTAATTTAACTGCCTTTTTATTTATGTATTTTATAACTAAGAAGTGTTTAAATTATTTGATACAACCCTATCAATGTATAATATGCCAATAACAACAGAATCTGTTTTCTTCATGAAAAATGATGATTCATTCTCCCTTTATTTTTTAATGGGAAAATTTGTTTGGTGTATGTCCTGTTGGGCATATGTTCAAGGATATGGAACGGATTAAGGATGTTTAACAAGGTACCACTGTATTTCCCTTCCAGAAATTATTTTTATGAGGTAGAGTCAATATCAGGGCTAAACTTTTTTGGGGAAAAAGTTCTGCTATTGCTGGGGATTGAATTTAAATTCAGACCGCTAACCTGGCAAGCAAGTGCAATAATAATATTGTAATACTGTGATGTAGTAATTTCAGAGTCATTTCATGTGTTTGTGTAGTAATATTTTTATTTTTGATCATTTTTCAGCTGATGAAGGCTATTTTGTGTAGGGTCCTTTGTTTGTCTGTTGTAAATGGACTTGTTAAGTTGACATATTCTTCATCTTTTTTCCAATCTTTTCTTATTCTGACAATAGTTATACTATTGTAGCTTCTATAATACAGTGATATGCACCAAATTCATTGAAATACAGAAGCTCAAATGTGTGGTCATCTTGTTAGAAAGCAGCCACAACAACTATCAATGCAGGTGCTGCATATGACAAGATTTAATGTGAAAGCACAAGGTCACCTTACAGAAGATGGAGGAGGTGACAGTAAAGACCTTCCACACTGACATCGAATGACCACAGCAATTGCTATTCATCAAGCAATGGATCACAAACTGTTTCTCCCTGCTCTTCAATGTGTATATAAACAAGATTACAGTATTTGAAGTACCAGGTGTTGGAAGGATACTGACATTTGCTGATGATGCTCTAGATGTTTTGGGGTAGTTAAAAGCACCACAAAGCCGGAAAACCCGGTCTTACCACCCTATAAAATACTGGTCTGTCCCTGTGACGTCATCTGGGGTGACTTATTGTGAAAGAACCCAAAGTCATATCTCAGAGTAGGTGCAAACAAGAAGCACCTCCTGCATGAAGCCCTGGGTAGAGCTAAGGATCACAGACTGAAAAGAGGAAGGTCTTGGATGACGCAAGCTGAAGACACAATCAGACTTGTGTGCAGGCTTGCTAAATTTGTGCGAGGTGAGGAGTGGGTCAAAGTATCTGAGCAAGTTTCAGACTTGTGTAGAGTTCTTATCCCTTTGGGTCATAAGCGCAGGACTGGCAAGCTGGCGCTGCAGAATCAAAGTTCGACAAATGATTCATGATAATTCCTGCCCAAGTGATGTGATTATCTATACAGATGGCTCTGTGTTGAAGGGCAAATGAAGTGCATGTGGATTCATAGCAAATTTACGTTAGTGCAACAAAGCCTGGCATTGATATTACAACGTCTAGTTTTAGAATGGAGGTGGAGGCAGCCATTGCTACACACCACTGGCTTGAGAATCAGCTGTACACACATGCCATTATTGTAACAGACTTACTGAGCGTGTTGAGAAAAGTGGAGACATGTGTGCTCCGTAAAGAGAGGCAAGCATCACTTCAGAGGTCTCGGTAGTCAGCATCCTTAGGATATTCTCTCCAGGGCACGCCGGTGTGTTGGGAAATGAGCAAGCAGAAAGACTGACTGGTTCTGCACCACTTGGTGGTAAACTGATGTGAGGGCCCTCTGGGAGTCAGTAAACAGTGCGGAAGCACTAATAGATCATTATGGTCTGCGGAGAATGGCACTGCAAGTTGCCAGGGGATCTGGCCAATGCTCAACAAAGGTGAGAAGGATATACAATCAGACAGTTACTGATGCCATCGGAATTGGAGCTTTTTGTTTGCTGCTGAAGATGGGGATGAATCTCTTATGGGAGTGTCCTGAGTGCTGTGATGCTGATTCTTAATTAATCATTTAATCTTTCTCCCTACCCCTCTTAATGACAATAGTAGAAATTGATGATAACGAGCTTCTATACTACATAACATACATACCAACAGTCCTGTATCCAGCAAGTTTGTCCTCCAGTTTTTGTATTTTCTCAAGCTGTGTTTGCAATACAGTGTTGCGCAGATAGATGTCAGAGCTAAAAGATGATTCTGAGAATGAACTGCTGATTTCATCAGGACGCGATTGTGGAACAGCAGACTTCCCAGACATTATCAGCAGCTACAGTGTATCTTCTTGTCGTAAAAAGTTCACTCATTATAAGTCTAGAAATATAAAATGACATCTGCTTTGAATTTAAACATAGTTATTCAGTTATTTTTACACACATAGGGAGTGATTCTACCTATAACAATGGTCTCCACCCTTTTTTAAGTCTTCCCCCATCAATCCTCCCCCCCCCCCCCCCCCCCCCAGTATATGGCAAGACTCCCATGCCACTCCCACCCTTCCCCTCACATAACAAAATGTAATTTTACACAATTAAACAAGAGGACAATAGATTCCACAACAAGAGAAAACAGAAAGCGTAGAGATATGTTTTGGTCAGAATGTGTTCTTGAATCTATAGATAAATGCGCATGTAATCATGTTAATTACATTTTTAAATGCAAATGCACAAACTGCTAATGAAAAAAAAATGTCCTTATCATTTTATTAAAAAAGACTGATGCTATGTCAGTTCTACAAGCAATTGTTAACACAAAAGACACTCAGTTTGTAGACTTGATGCAATAGCTGATTCACTTAGGCTCTTCTGTAGAACAATTTATACTGCAATTTATTCCAGGCCACTGTGACTTGGAAGGCAATGAAATAGTGGACACGTTGGCCAGAAACGGCAGTGAGATGGTACAACCAAAAAGTGACTTAACCTACCAAGAGACAAAGACATTAATACAATCTAGCATCAAAGTAAGGCGACTGGATAAAGACACCAAATTCTCTCCTCAAGACTCACTTCATCGCCACTCTAGAGAGGGACAGTGTATTATATTCAGACTAAGGACTGGGCACAACACACTTCGTCAACATGTGTTCAAACTTTTCGGTGTCGGAACCACGGAGACGTGTCCCTGCAACTTGGCACCTAAAAAATGCTGAGCGTTTGCTCCACATGACTACCACAATGAAGACAAAGCTGTATAGTAATCAAGAAGATATGGACTACACGATAGCGTTCATAAAGGCTACCGGCCTCCTTATACAGGTTTTCTGACAGAATAATTGAAGAAGAAGAAGATTTTGTTAAATAAATAGTTTTTAAAAATATGTTTTTTAGAATTAAACTAAAACAAAATGTTGGTAAAATGATTATTACAAGTACACAAGCACTCTCAAAACTGCTTGATGCCCCCACTTGAAACCTCCTGTCACCCTCAGGTTAGAGATCTCTGACCTAGAATGATAGCCAAAAGTTTAAGACCACCTAGTATAACTGATTTTTTCCATGCTGTATTGCACCACTGTCTTATCTTCTTCTATCTTCTTTTACCCCACCAGGACATCACATAAGCGATAAACACCCGATGACACAAAGTGCCACGATGTGGATGATGAGGATCATCCATGGAGAGGTCCTAGAAACTGTGTTCAGCCATTAGACCATATTTATGGTCAGGCTATATTGCAGCCCCTGGCAAGGGCCAGAGTAGGGCTTCAAATAACAAAAAACTGCATCCTACAAGGGGATGACAACATTGCACCACTGCTATTTTAGGCCTAACTAAAGGTAAACCCTGCAATCACCATTATGCCTTATAATAACAGCTGGTTCAATGCTCCATAATATCAACTATAGCAAAATTCTCATGAATTTCAAGGGACTGAAAAATTTAAGAGCTTATTATGTCAAAAACATGTGTTAACTGGGAACTACTAATAACACATCCCTGCTAAGACAAAATTTTGTTCATGCTAACTAAAAGTTCTTTTCAAGTCAGTTCGTAGGTTCTGCTGTATTTACTAGGTGGTATTAAATTTTTAGCCACACAACAATACAAAATAATACTCTGTTATTCTTCCACACTGTTCTCTTGAAACAGACTATCTACATCTGCAATGATGTCTTCTATGTGAATGTTACCGTAATTTGTTTAAAAAAACTGTGATTTATGGCAACAAGTTTGTCTGCCTCTATCTCTTAAATCTGTCACTACAGAGCAACTCACTGAACATTTACTGGTTACACAATATGCATTTCTTAACTCTTTATTCCTCATTCAAATGATACTGTAGGCCAGAGCTATTCAACTGGCAGCCCGCGGAGGCCTAGCAAGTAGCCCTCGGATCACTGCCAGTTATATCGTACTAATGCTCTTTCTATGCTGATGCTCTGGGCCGCCACAATCCCCATTTTTAAAATTGTGGCCCTTGAGTAAACTTTGTTGAATAGCCCTGCTGTAGGCCATTCTGCCTAAAAATGTTTACTGTATCTGATTTTGTCTTTTAGTTTTATTATCTGAAAATGTTCAGAAACAGACACATCTTAATTTAGGTAACAAATGTTTAGGAAGAAATTATTAAATATGAATTCATAAAAATCATATAAATGAAACCGCGAAAGTTTAAAAGAATACAGGGAAACATGGTTGATACTATGAATACCCCAATTATAACTCTAAGGCATGAGCAAGCTATTTATTATTATTACTAGTATTATTAGTGCTCATAGGAGTCGCTGTGGCGTTGCAGCTAGATGCTCGTATGTGGATCAGAAGGTGGTTCGCTCCCAGGCAGGCCAGACTTTTTTCAGAAATGACCTTGGCTCCCACGTCGACCCAGCCTTGGGTGGGTATCAGAGGCAGTCCTGGGAAGTAAAGGCGGCTGGCGTAATGCTGACCACATCGCTGGTCTATAAAATATAGGTCTAGCCCCATACACCCAATACACCTGAAAGGCATGGAAAAGGGTTGTTTACTTTTATTAGTGTTCATACTAGTGGTAGTAGTACACTACTCATAAGACTGGCCATAGAAACAAATTGGTTCACATCTTGGATCTGATGAACAATTACTTACCTTATTAACTTTCACACACAAAAACACACTTTAACTTCATGCCAACATTTTTTCAAATGAATGCTTTGCATAAATAATTAAACTATCAGAATACTTAGATCTCCTTCTTCAACCAAAGAGGTAAAAAGTCAGAGTGCCACATCACTCTATGGTCTATTGGTTGTTCTATTTGACTGCACCAAAGTTTAAAGAAAAAGCTAAATTTTCAAGCTCGTTAGAAAATGTTTAATTTTAAAACAATTAGTGACCATTTTGAAATTTCACTTAGGCAAGATCATGTGTTTAACATCCCCATATGGGTTCTGGGGCCCTATTATAGGGAAAACAAGAATAGACCCACTGCCTACCCAAAAGCATGTCGTAAGAGTTGACTAACTGGGAGCTTTCTTCGAAGTCGGAGTGCATCTGCCTGAGAGGCAAGAAACCAAGTCTGCCTACAAATTAGTCAGATCTGTCAAACGGATGCACACGCAGCACTCAGGTTCTGGAACAGGACTGCAGTCCAGAAGTGGGCGAACAGCTAGAACTTTCCACAAGAGTTTACAGCTGGTGAACGCAAAGAAGAAGATGTGTTTAACATCACAGTGTGGCTGGTTGGTTGTTCTATTAGACTGCACCATGATGTTTCAAATAATAATTTTAACAATTAAAAACACCAGTATCTTAAAGTTCGTTAGAAGACAACAAAATTCATTTTAAAACAATTGCAAAAAATTAATTTAATAAGCGCCCATTTTGAAATTTCACTTGGGCAAGACCATATCCATATGTTTTTAAAATACTGATTGTTCTGCCAAAAAAAATTAGTGTTATGATGATGGAATGATACCATAATAATTGATTTATTATTATTATGTTTAATTTATTAATTATCATAACTGGCGGTCATTTTAAATAATTAGTTAGTTAGTCTTTCCTCTTGTGTCGAGTGCGGCACATAGGGCAGAGGTCGTGACTCTCCATGTCCGTTGCAATCCGTTGTAGGTCTTGGATGTTTGAGTGGCCCATGAGCGAGCCTTCCCTGATGATAGTTCTACGTAGGGTTTCCCTTGGTCTTCCACGAGATCTTTTCCCCTGTGGTGTCCAAATGAGGGCTTGGTAAGGAAGTCTTGATTTATCCATTCTAAGGACGTGGCCGACATAGTTCCAGCGGCGTTTTCGTATAAAATTAGACACATACTCTTGCCTGGATTCTTGCCTTATTTGTGTATTGGTTCGGAAATCTGACCATTTGAAATTTAGTATTCTTCTAAGGCATTTATTTTCAAAACTGTCTAATTTTGTGTCTAGAGTTTTCGTTGATTTCCAACTCTCGCATCCATAGGTTAGTACTGGAATCACACAAGAATTTTTAAATAATAATTCACCTTTATTTATTAGGTAATTCCTTGAAATGTCATGGTTATTCAAACTTATTCTGTTAGTTAGACATTGTTATCCCGAACACAAAAACAAAAACATAGTTTCTAGAGGTTTTGATCAATCCTTCATAAGTTAAAGCAGTTTTAAACACTCCTCAAAGACTTTTGGGCAGCATGTTTTACTTTACTGAACTTGTATTTTTTTTTTCTTCTTTATTATTATTATTATTTAATTTTTCCACACAAACTTAAAAAACTATAACAGCTTGGTCTAGAATATTGACACACAAACACGAATAAGCCTTTTAAGGTACCGTTGCAAAGAGCATTTCAATATGTACCAGTTGTGCAGGTTTTATTACCACAGAGTGACTTTGAAAAATCAGCTAAGGTACCTAGACTGAAGCTGAACCGCTGAACACGTGAAAAATTAACTGTTAGGTGAGAAACTTATATATGCAGGTCGCAGTTAGAATTACTCTTAGCGTCGCATCATAAGAATGAGCAGTAGATATACAACATTGGATACTAAAATCGAAACTACATACTTACAGATAGTCGTAATTGCATCTGTCGTACAATATCACCGTATTTTACTTCCAGGAAATGAAATTGTAATGTAGTCCTAACGTCGTTAGTTTAATGGAAGAAGCCATCAGACGAAACCAGAAACACAAAGGTGAACAGGAGTGGTTTACCCTTTGTTTTAACGGCAGAAATAACACGGGGAATCCCCAGTATTTGTTGTGATAACGCCTCCTTTAAAATAAAATAAAAATTGGAGCAGGTCGTGGTTGAGGATGAGGGTCGTCTGTAGTTGTTACAGACGGTC